GCCTTTACATCTGAATCAGATCCTTTTCGTTTATCGATGATGCTAACTCCGCCTGTAGCTTTTCTAGGGATATTGCTGGTCCCGAGCTCGACTAAAGGAGGAGGATAGGGCATAGGGTTAGCGACCCCATCCCGTAGAAAACTAACTCGCTAAAAAAATAGCTAACCAGAAAAAAATCAGTTACATGAACAAAATTCTGATTGATAAATATTATTTATTCATTAATTGTTTTTCGTAATTCAATCACATGAGAAAGATTGAGACATAAATTAAGATAAATGACGTTTGATTTTCTAAGTTTTCTAAGAAAAAAAATTTTATATAAATAACTAACCGAATATCACCAAAATCTGAATTTTAGAGAGAAATAATTATCATCTGTCAGCTCTAAATGCCTAATTAATCAGTAATAATGTTGGATCGATCCGGATCAATTAACGAAATATTTGTTTATGTATTCACTTAGTACTCAATTTAGAAAGAACAAATTGTAATGAAATCTGGAAGTATTTGTTGTGGAAATACTTTTATAAAAAAATGCCATATAGCCTACGCGTTTTAGATTGTTCTCTACTATCACATGATTTCTTCAAATATAAATACAGGATGAGTACAGTTTTACTAATTAAATTGTAAACTGTAACCATATTACACGCTACATATAGTATAGATGAAGGCAAAATGAAAGAAACATGTAAATGTGAAGTTAGTTTGTAAAGTGCCCAATCAACAATCAAAATATCGAAAAATCTTGTTAATTTACAGTATAGTACTTTACGTTGAATAATATGACTAGAATGTTAAATCTGGTAAAATACAGTTCAGAATATTACGTATCTAAAAGGGTTAAATTTAAAGAAAAGTATGAAAACGATACAATTAAAATACACAACTTATACAAAAATCGAGTTCCTTGAATTCACTGTCAACATCATTTATATACTTCCACAGAACTTTTGAGTACGGCAGTATTCTGGTGTAAACGAATTTAAAATAATACGTTACGCTGTATATTCTATCAGTTTGTTTAATGGTAACTTAATGAAATATACTAATGAACGATCAGAATACCTCTGATTAATTTTAATCAAAATATTCAGCATCATATTAATTGGAAATCATCGGAAATTTGTTTTGATGATCAATAAGTAGTCAGACCACCTTTAAATTTATAAATTTTAAACTAGTAATACGTCTAAAAAGGAAGAATGTATTTGTAATACATATTCTACGTTTCGTCTACTAAAAATATGAATTCACGCTTCTTTTTCAACCAAACTTTCAGAGTATTTAGACTTTCTCGACTTCCTTATCACTTTATGTGAATGCATGCATGGTTAAAGTGTGAATAAACTTTTAAAACAGATGACAGTTTCATTGTTTTATACCAAATGTTTTATAGAAATTGATAATTTTGAAACCTTGTTTTAATACAATAGTTAGGCTTCCTTTCCTGAATTATGGTATATCAACAAAACCGCAAACATTTATGATATTTTTAGAATCTGTAGTCACAATATATAATATAGGATTCGATCTGCACTAATAAGAACCTGACATACATGACAATGATCACCACGCAGTGATCAACCAATTGTAAATATAAATATACTGTTTCCTAACTTCTGAGTTCCATACACCAGAACGCTTATGACTTTTTAGTTGCTGATTTCTTAGAGTATTTATTTTCTTTTTATACTGCTTATTAAAGAGAACTGTGTTATGAGCCACATGACTACTTCCGTATTTGATCTGATAACAACGTTCTCTAACATGCCTTAATTTATGATTATTCATTTATCCTCCATTATATACTCCCATCAAAACTCAGTAAATCTATCTAAATTAGAGGCTAAGGTAGCTGCTATTTACGAACGATCGAGAATATTTTAATGCGAACGGGTTCTATGGTATTAATGTTTATAATCCACACACTAATTTGAAGTAGAGAAAATAGGACTTTCAGGATAGCTTTGTATTTTGAACGGAAGCGAAAAATTGAAATGAAGCAATTTCATTTATTTGCTAACATACAGTGATGTTGGAGTATACAACAAAGTCACCAAACTATGGATAATAACAACCAATCAGACAACAGAACGAGTTATCGCAGAATTATGAATAACAAAAATGTTGTCGACTTTATCCCTTAAAAGAAGAAAAATAACGTTTACCAATAAGAAAACCAGATACCTTAGGCTCATACTTTGAACTTCACGTTAATGCAATCTTCTTGACAAATATTCAACCAAAACAATTTGTGAATTACATATTCCAAATAAAGAATCCTTATTTTATACATGTTACATTCAACCTGATCGTACTTATGAACTAGTGTTCATTGTACAGTTGTTTTCAGAATATATATATATATATATATATATACATCTATCACGATATTCGTTAGAGAACTCGGTAATAATTTCAACGTTTTAGATTATGAATATTATTCGCTTCAAGTACATAAGTATACTAATATATATATCTACTTTGTGTTATATTTCAATTGATAGAAAATTATATTTCCGAAGTTTCGTGACTTAATGTAAGCCATTTCTTCAGAATAAATAAGTAACCGAATTAAAATAATACAAATTTGAATAGTGTTGTGGATGCGGAGGAATAGACCAATAATTATCATGCTAAGTCCAATGGTGTCCTTGGACTTTAAATGGACATTTTCTATTGGTCGATATCTGTTCACTTGTGAATATTGTACAAAATGTTGTTTTCTATTTTTATGGTACGATGTGGTTTGTTTGCTTGGTATATAAATAGAGTATGTTTGAAATACAATGATTCATATCTCAGAGGTTGTGACTTGTCTTCTGGACTCAACTGGCTGGGCTGGACAGGGAGGCAGGACCAATCAGAACCCTAGGTTGTCCTACGTGTTTGTGCGTCTTTGGTCCGATCAATAATTCGCTTACCCCTTAATCTGCAGAATTATTTTTCAGCCATAACAATTGGCGACGGGGTGGAGAAAAATTTTGAACCTTGTAATTGGACGCGATTCAGGCTAATTGTTTCGACCAATCAGCATCCAGATTGTCACCAGCGTCCTTGAGCAACATTGGTCATTATTCCTACAGTTAATTTTCGTTGCTGGTGCTGAAAAAAAATGACTACCTGTTCCGATCAATTACAGCTTCTACTTGAGCAACAACAGCAGTGCTTCAAAAATAGCCAGTTGAATTTTTTAGAAAATTTACGCACACTGTTGGTAAATTTTCCATGTTTCGGAAATGCAACAGAAGTTGGTAATTTCATTTCTCATCTGAAGACTGAGCTGGAAAACAACTGCAGAACATATGAAGCTGCCTATAAAAGCCTCTGTGAATCCCGGACGACCAGTGATGTAAACGAGACAATCATTCATGATCCGCCCAGTTGTTCAGAAATGTCAAATTCAGAAACATTCCCTGTTGTGGGTTCAAATCCCACTGTGCCTGAAAGATGTGAAGTATCCAGCTTACAAGAAGAACCTCTCGTGTCAGAAAATGTTTCCCGTGCATCAAATAATGGTCAGAAATCTAATACGAATTTCAAAGATGCTGTTTGTTTTAGTGACCTATTATCCAGTGATAGAATTTTGAAGAGGTCTGATGAATATGTTGCACAAGAATCAAACCTTAATGACCTCATGTCTGGTGTCGCTAATCCTCATCATCTAGTCAGTCTTAGTGAACCCTCTACTCAATGCGCGAAATATGCTTTAATTCGAATCAGACTAACTGTTGCTTGGGTATATGAGGACCCAACGTTATTTCGTGGGGATGAACCCAGAAAATTTCAAAATCCGGATATCAACTCCGGATCTTCAAAAAAAAGGGGAGGTGTTGTGGATGCGGAGGAATAGACCAATAATTATCATGCTAAGTCCAATGGTGTCCTTGGACTTTAAATGGACATTTTCTATTGGTCGATATCTGTTCACTTGTGAATATTGTACAAAATGTTGTTTTCTATTTTTATGGTACGATGTGGTTTGTTTGCTTGGTATATAAATAGAGTATGTTTGAAATACAATGATTCATATCTCAGAGGTTGTGACTTGTCTTCTGGACTCAACTGGCTGGGCTGGACAGGGAGGCAGGACCAATCAGAACCCTAGGTTGTCCTACGTGTTTGTGCGTCTTTGGTCCGATCAATAATTCGCTTACCCCTTAATCTGCAGAATTATTTTTCCACAGTCATAACAAATAGTACAAAGGAAACAAAATGACATTTTTTCTACATCGTCTATCATACGTAAAATTGAGGATTAAAATTAAGCATACAAGGTGTGGCAAAGCATGGCCTCATTCTTACAATTGAAGAACTTATGGAAATCAAAACAAATGACAACCGATATCAAAGTCAGAATCATCAATCCGAACGTCGAGACAAGTCTACTCTACGAGGCTGAAACTTGAACAGCTACTACAATCATCATCAAGAAGGTACAAGTATTTATAAACAGCTGTCTACGCAAGATACTCAACATCCATTGGCCGGATACCATAAGTAGCAACCTTTTGTGAAAGAGAAAAAACCAACTCCCAGCTAAAGAGTAAATTAGGAAAAGACGTTGGAAGTGGATAGAACATATATTACACAAATAATCAAACTGCATCACGAGACAAGCCTTAACTTAAATTCTGAAGGGATGCAGGAAAGAGGAAGGCCAAAGAACACATTACTTCATGAAATCGAGGCAGATATGAAAAGGATGAATAACAACTGGAAAGAACTGGAAAGGTTTGCCCAGGAAAGGGCTGAATGGAGAGTGCTGGTGGGCTGGCGGTCTATGCTCCTCCACGAGGAGTAACAGGTGTAAGTAAGTAATAAAAGGCTGTAGTAGAATAGATACGTCTAAAAAATTGGCTTGAATCAAACACTTTCATTCCTTCATTACGAGACAGTTTTATAGTAAATGAATATTCTCAATGTTTGTAAGTATTCTAATGCATAAATACATGAATACCTACTGATAACTATAAATTCTAAGAGACTAATCAATTTCATCCAATATAAGACGATGTTTAACTTAAGTAAGTTGATTAAACATCTACAATCTAAGTGTGATATGCATATGATACTACAAATTTGGAAATTCGAAAATCAAAATTAACTTTTTTTTTAAAAGAGATGATTATTATTACAACATGAAGTTAAATGAAATACATTTGAGTGGTAAGTTAAAGTGCAAATAAACAACAAAGTGTGTATGTAGTAATAAGTGAATTTTGATATTGTTTCAGTTTTTCTTATTAACAATATAACAAATAATAATTAAGACAATACTAAGTAGAAATTTATGTGTTACCCGAGTCTGTATGCTTTTATTACATAAGTCTGTTTGGCAACAGTCATAACTAAAGGAAGTAAAATTTCTTTTCCAGTAATTAAATCCACAATCAGCTGCACAGAGTCTATGTGGAAAGGGTATACCTTCTATCCTAATTTTCTGTAATAAAAAGCAAATGAATACAATGAAAATATATCAGGTGAATAAAACAACCAAAGAGAATACTCCTGTCCAAAAATATTTGAGTCTTCCTATTATTCAAATAGAAAACTACCCCCGATTAGGACTGGTCACTATTATTTATGTACATACATTGCAAAAATGTAGATGGCATTGTGCTATAAAAGTTTTAGTTGTATAATTTTTCAAACTGTGATAATCATGAGTATTTGAATTATAGTATGAACTAAGAATCCCAGAAATAACGTAATCGGGTCAAGAAGTACTAGATAACGACAAACGAATGTACTGTATTTAGAATTCGAAATCAAGCATTCAATAAGTACAAAGGTATCATTAGTTCATTCAAACACCACACAAACACATAACTTTTTTGTTAATTTTTAATCTGAATTTAATAACTGTACGTTGAATAAATCAAAATTTCTAGCTAATAATCCTGCAAATGAATTGATGTAGCATTGGATCAATTTTTAGGTTTTAATAGATTGTTCAAATTGATTAACGGGAATTCGCTTAGTCAAATCCAACAAATAAATGAATAATAACAAAAAAATACTTGAATACAGTTTGTTCTTTAAACTTACTGCACACCATTTACAACCATAATGTTCATCAACTAGTGGTGAGTTTGGATCAAATGGTATTGAACAGAAACTGCATGTGTAACACTTCAATGATAGACCTGATATTGAAAATGATTAGGAAAAAATATAATGTATTTGTAGAACTGTGTAACTATGTAATATGTTGTGTATTTATACTACTGTGGTGTGTGCTACTTATATTGACATAAGTAGTATATGATGTTAGTCGTGAACAGAAGGTCTGGCAGCAGAGACAAGAGGATCGAACAGTAAAGAGTGAAAACAGAATGCAATTTGTATGAAAATACAAGAACAATAAAGTCTGAGTCATTTTGAGATAATTGGTGGACATTTTGCAAATTAAGCTTTTACTCTATGATAGTCAAATTTTATTAACAAGTCCTGTAATTTTGTGTTAGGTACTACTCGATTGTCCCCATAAGGGTTCTGTTCACTACACTACTTCTGCAACTATTTTTATTCAACACAAGACTAACTTTTATAAAATTATACTTATTTTTTAATGACTTTTTAGATATTCCTCATAATTTCATAGTTCTTAATGAAAAGTTTGTTATTGGAAGCCAGGGAAGACTGAGTGATTTTTCCAGCTGACATCAGATTTGTGGTAATTACAAGGTCTAAATTGAAAAATTCATTATCGCTTATTCATTTTATTAATCATATGTTTATTAGCGACTAAATATAAGGTGCTTTTTAAGACATATTTCGTTAAAATACTGGCATTGCTCGTCGTATGGCTATTTCTTATGATTAGAGACATAGTTAGTTACTTCTCCTTGTATAAATGAGCAATTACTGATACAACTTAATATAAAGAAGAAAATTCAGAATGCGGATCAGCCCTTATCGACAACACAAAAATATTACACAACAGATAAAACCACTGAACCCCCTCTCACTGTTTCAAAAACTATCGAAAATACGACGCCTTGTCTGTGCTTTACTTACCTGTTCAATAGGCGAAATTGAATATCTTTCACCAGGTAGTAATTGATATAAATTAACCAATAACTAGACGTGTATATACGATTTACAATATCATTTCATTTAATTGCATTTACTAACAACATAACAAATTACTAAGTCACATATTCTCTTCTTACTAATGACAAAAACAAATGCGAAGTACTCAATTGTTGGTAGAGTTTGCCCAGGTTATTTTAGTATACAATGAATATTGATTGGTTGAGGTTAGACATTAACGCCATTGGATACCGGTTCAGTGATCCAGTAGGTTGAGCGTTTGCGCGCGAGACTGAGGGCCCTGGGTTCGGATCCCGCGAGCGGGATCGTGGATGCGCGCTGCTGAGGTGTCTTACAATAGGACGAGACGGCCGTCCAGTGCTTCAAGGTTTTCAATGGTGGTCCAACATCAATCGCTCCATGATCTCAATCATAGATATGGATAATATTCGATTTCTAGTTCTAATTCCGAAATCTTTCCTTGTATCTATGACATATATACAACAAAAACTCTTTCGCTTAAATACAACTAAGACTATTGCCATTTTAGAGTTTTTATTATTAAGTTACCGGAGTTGATTTTAAATTAAAGATTATTTTGCAAACAATGTAATGTCACAGTCAACATATAAAATATTTTAACAATTAATTTTGAATGAAAAACTGCGACAGAATGAAAGAAACGTGTAGCATCTACAGCAACAACACTGAATTTAGCCATATGAAATTTAATTAAAAAATGTAATAGACTAACTGAATTCGAACTCTTTCCTATTATTACTAATAATGAAGACATATACAACAAATAAAAATATGACGTGAAATCTTATCAATCCCAACAATATAGATAATATCCATTATCTATTAAATTATAATTTGTGAAGGAAACAGCATTAGATAGATAAATTAACTAAAATCATTATCTGTTTAATCAAAATTATTTACTGTTCGAAGAAAAAGCGTGCTACTGATGTCAACATATATAAGTAGTATGCATCATCAATCGAAAGTGAAATGTCTGGCAGGCATAAGGTTAAGAAGATTGAAGAAAAATGAACGAGAACAGAAAATGATTGATGTGGAAATGAAGGAACAATCAAGTCTAAGACTATTGATTGACATTTTGCAAATGAAGTATTTACTGTATGGATCTCAGATTTTACTAATATGTTCTATACTTTTGTATTCAAGTACATTTGATTGTCCCCACTTGTGTTCTTGTTCACTATTATATACAAGTTGGTTCTACCGATATATACCAATTCAAATTATATACGTACCAGAAATTAAGATGTAACTTCAGGTTATAACTCCAAGTGTTGAGATATGTACTGCTTTCTGTCGTTCCCCCTATTAATCTGCACGACAAATAGTTTTTGGATTACACCATATCACTTTGAAACTCGATATGAATTACATTATTTAATGGGGTCCAGTCGTCGAAAACCTGCGTCACAACACACTTTTTAAAATCCAACCGATCGGGTAAAATAATCTGAACTCATCTTAAAATACTAAGCTGAATATGTGGGGAGTTGTTTCAAAGGAACACCATGATGCATTATCTTAGATTATTTACAGTAGTATTGAAGATTAAACTGAACTGGTGAAAGGAGTAAATTTTTATTCTAAATTTCTTTTCCATTCAATCTCATTCCATTAACAAAAGGATTGTAGACCTCTTTTATTCCATTTCCAACTTCCCTTGATTTCACCTAACGATATTAAGATTACTAAGGTTTTAAAATAATAGTCAATTTGAACTAAATAGTTCTACTGTAAATCAGAAAATATTTAATCTTGATGAAAAATTGTCATATTGAATACATATGTACTGCAATTTGAGCTTATATCCTCTCACTTTATCCTCTATTAGGTTGAATGTCCGCTATTCGATCGTACAATCAAAAGTAATTTCAGAGATTTCTCACAGAAAAATGATTAATCGCTCAATAGTGACGAATATATTGCTTTCGAGCAGTTATATTTTACATGGTAAGTCAAAGTGAAGCTAATTAAGGTAACAAATTCTATTAGAGGAATTATGTAAATTATGCATAACACTATCTAACATTTGTCATAAAGTGATGATGTATAGTTTAAATAAAACAACTAAATAGAGTAAAACTCCATCTACGCTATTTTTTGGTACAGTACTCGTATATGAACTATTCATAGAGTAACCACTATTTGGTATAATGTAAAATTAACAAATAAACACTTACTGTATTCTGTGTTTATCAGAAGCAACATTGTCACCAATATAATTTGCGCAAGATACATCATAGTCATCTTGAAGTGTAACGAAATCTAAATTCTAACTCCGAACGTTTGAGATTGTATCAATTGCTGTAGTTATTTAACTTTGCTATTTTAAAAAATGTGCCAAATGTATATCTTAATGATTGACCAATAAAAAATATAAGTGATCAATGCGTACAGCTGACACATACTGTCTATCAACTACCGATATCATTTTGTAGCTAAGATTATTACTAATTTAAACGTTGACGTTTGCCAGAAAACTTTAATTGATTATTCACTCATTTATATTCGTTTTTATATTGCTTACTTTTCATAATAAAATTCTTTTAGTTTTATATTCATCTTGAAAGACTTGATTTCACTTGTTCATGCACTGTTAACTACAAACTTGAGTTATACCCAGAAATAGAACCAAATGTGTTGATGAACAAGTTTATCACTTGTTAGAGAGAAAGAGAAACATGTTTTACACTTATTTATTACAATTCATTATTCATGATAGAAGTAATTGATGAAATGATTTTATCACCTTATAGAATGACTTGAAAATTAGGCTTGAATCAAAAGAACTAGATAGGGAATAATTATAATCATAAATAATAAATCATTTTTCTCCATTTCACAGTTCGTTGATACACGTACTGATTAGAATGAAACAAGGATTGTTCATTAGTCACTTCAAATAAATCAGTCGATAGTGTACCGAAACAGCGATGATGACGATTCTGATTAAATTTTACATCAATAGTTTATTTGTTCCTCACTCCAGTTATCATACCGAAGATTCAGCAAAAAATAATAATTTCAGACGAAGTGTAATTAATATTTCAAATCTCTTATATGATGTAAATCTCTGATTTCGATTGTCTAATTATGCTATTGTAGTTACAATGAATATAGTTTACTATAGCATATTATTCTTATTTTTATAACCAGTATTCTGAATAAACAGCCGATATTTAACTTCTTCAAAACATATACATCATGCTCACACCTGTTCTCAGTAACTGTGTACTAACTTAGTATATTGATGTTATATGTCTATTGTTGAATACATAGATGTGGTAGCGAAAGAGTCTTTCTTTTCTCGCAAGAGTTTATGTTATGGCTTTTTAAATATTTTGTGGTTTGGTCGTATTTCTTTGATGTAGACGAGCTGTTATTCACTCATAAGTGGTTTCTCAAAAATATCTAGGAGAAATACTATAACTATTGAACAAACGAAATAACTGATGCTTTTAAATAACACTGCCTGTCAGTAAACAAATCAGCATTGTTTCACTTCATTATAACCCTGTTCCATTCACCTAGTTCCCTTGATCATTTAGTTCACCGGCAATAGTCAATATTACACTCTACTTTATTAAAAGTGAGTTAGGTCCTAGCTTTGTCTCTTTATGAGCTGAAAATTTCAACCAAACAAAGCACACATTAGTTTCAGTAAGCTTTTGTCAATAAAGCTTCCCACTTTTGATCCGATTGATTAATTATTTAAATAGCAACAATCCAAAAGATTTATACATATTGGAATTTTAATCAATCACAAGCTACATTGGATACTTTGATGAAAGCATTCAAAAGATAAACGTTGATGAATATATTTTTATTTTAAAGAACCTAAGGTTACTATAAAAGTCTATAAAAAGCTTAGTTAGGTATGTTTCAAAGTTAAATCCAATGCTAGAAGGTTATGAATATGGCTTACAAATTTTTGCATGAAATTGTTTTAGTGAGAAATTGAATCTTAAACTCTCTTAGTTTCACTTTGTGAAATGACCACAGCAAAAAACTTCTTGTACCTGAAACATTAACTAGATAAATATAGATACTGGCTAGTAGTGGAATCTAGGACACGCGTTTCATCAGCTGGATGTACCTGTATCCCAGAGTGAACATCAACTCTAAGATGCAGGTGCATGCAGCTAACGAGTCCTAAATAGAACGAAACGCGTGTCCTAGATTCCACTACTAGCCGCTATCCATCTTTGCTTAAAAAAGTATATAACTTTAGGCTATATCAAGACAATCCGTACAGGATGTATATATGCCAACAAGAGACTGATCAATTGCAGTCCTAAATAAAAATGGGAAGATACAAGTAAAACAACACCAAGTGAATTGACTAGGTAATTTTCTAGTTCAGTGACTAACTTTTGCATGTATTTTTACTAAGACATTTTATCCACATTAAAGTTTCATGTCCAAAAATGGTCAAAATATTACAAATAAACTAGAAAATATCATCTTAGTAATTATTTAGTTCTAACTGACGAATTTATCGAATTTTCAGAAATGTTTTTGTTATTAGACAAACCAAACTAAAACCGGGTAAAACATAGATCACTACTGTATGTAAACATGATTAATTTTAATAGATGACTGTATGAATTACAAATAACACATGACAATGTATAAGTCCAGTCAAAATAAACAAATTGAAGTAAAATGTTGAGATTTGTTTGATGAAAAGAAATATCAACTAGTCCACACCTACCGTATTCTATATTGATTAAAATCAACATCACAAATGGAATTTGTAAATTAAACTTCATAGTAATGAGGAATTGTATTGAAATTGATTTCCTTTCTCAGGTACCTATGATTTTATCAGTTATACAAGTTATGCAATTTTAATATTTTACAAGATAGTTGTCGTTACAAGGTCAAAAATATTTGTGTCGATGATTAACCAATGGGAAATTTAAATAGAATCGTGGGTGTTTTTATTCTTCACTGCTGATATAAACATCAAACATAAACCCACTCTCAACTTTTTATTATAGCTTGAAACATGAATGTACTTTGTTTAATAGTTGTTGTTTACCAGAAAATTGTAGACAGTTATCCATTCATCACCAATTTTCATTTTCGTCCAACGAATTAAAACGTTAATTATTCTATATGGAGTTTCATTGTGCTAACAGATAGAAAAAGAGCGAGTTGAACAACACGGTAAACAATCGTGAAGAAGCGAGAAATAAATAACACATTATGTTGAAATAATTTCTCGTTAAATAATGCATACATAGGAATAGTAACAGTCTTCACTAATCACATATACCTGAAATAATAGAATATGATTCTTGACAATCGGTTAATAGAAGGTTTAGTCACTTTCTAGTTAACGGTAGTTGAGAATCAAGTAATGAAAGTTGGATACAGTATAATTATAATTAGAAACAACAAATCACCCATTTCTCACTAACAAAACAGGTATTGGAAACGTCTATGACAATTCATCTGCTTGTGCGAACTAATTTATTTTAGCTTGCAGGATTGTAGAATAATTCAAACACAATTTGATAACCAATCTAAGATTATATACGTTAACATCTCTGATTCTAATAAACTTTATACATTGAATTCATACATTTGGTCAATCTTCAGATAATATACACCTGAATTCTCTGTTTAGTATTTTGAATCAAAAAGGGAATATATTTTACTATTTCGATATTTAACGTGAAAAATAGTTATGTTAACAACTTGGAAATTTTTCCCCCCAAAGTAACAACAGCATGGTTAATTTCAGAGTCATTTTAAACCTGTGATCATGATCGTATCATTTGAGATTTGTACAAATGTTATTCACTTGTAACTGGTACTTATTAGACGAGGACGGCTCATTACTACCCAGTGGCAATAATAACTTTACCAAGGTAAAGTGTTTGTCCTCAGGAATAACAGTACTCACCGTTAAGGAGTTATGATACCAATTTAAACAGATGTTAGACGGTCAAACACTGAAATCGAAACGTAGATTTTATTCTTTTCCCCCCTCCTCAGGTTAGTAAAACATAACTTATTTTAATAGTTCCATTGAATGTATAGCTTACTTTCATCTTTCTTTAATGCTAGGACTACAACCTCTGAGCTCCTTAAAAAAAGAATATTATTAGATAAAATCAGTAGATCCCCTCAAAGTAAAAATACCGATTTACTTCTTAAACTCTAACGTTTTAGATGAAAACAAAAATAACTTAAAGCTGTCACCTCAACGTAGATCCCTTAGTAAATATTATTAGTTCTATCAGCATGTTAATGGTTATAATGATAATTAAATATTGTGAAAATAAAATTTAACATGTCACCATGAAGTATCAGAAGGTATAAAATCCAAAATCAGAAAATTGTGTTTTCATACATATTGGTTGTTTGAATCTTCCCATTGTTGTTTAGGATCGCAGTTGATCCAGCTCTGTTTAGTGATATTTCCCCTGATAGTTATATGAATTAATAAATAGGTTGTGAATATGAATAACAACTTTAATACAGTTCTATCTGCTTGGTTAATGTAATGAATTTCCTTCATAAAATATACAACGATGCCTTAAACTCTAGTTTAACAGAAACTTTATTTGTAACTACTGAACAATGTGCTCCATCAGTGGTTATCTTCTATTCATCATCAACCATAACAGTTGTCGACCATTTTCACACTATATAAACTTTTGTTTCATAAATCGTAATGTATATTCCTCTAGTTTTCCCCAAAATAGACAGGAGGGGAACTATATTTATCACTATATTGTTTCCTTTTTATCTGATATCGGTTAATGTCATAGAAGGTTGTGGATTTTCTGCACAGGTCCACGAGTACGTTGTACAACTCACATACATAATTACGTCATTAGAACAAGTCTAAAATAGGAAAAGTTATTCCAATAACTGAAGCTTTAAATAAATGGCTCAAAAGTTTAAGCAGGTCACCACAAACTGATCGTACAAATTAGAAGGTGCATACATACTAACCTCAGTGACAAAATAAGCTATTTACTTTCAATAAATATTTATAATATCCCACTAATTATTCTTAAGAGAATATATGACTTCATATTCATGCAAACTCCAGTAGTCTAAAGAATAAGCTAATATCGTTTCATTCATCGACTTACACTAAGTCGCTTTGTTAGTGATCGTCGTTATGGAGCGATACTATTTGTAAGATCATGAAAAACTTGAAAGTAATAAATAACTGTTTTTGTTTTTATATAGAACTACTCAGCAGCATTCACACTCGATCCTTCGTAAATCGAATCCAATTCCTACAGTTTCCAACGAGAACAAAATCATGTGCCCACTAAGGACTACACTTGAGATAAGCATGTGAGATTTTAGTGGGGAATCGTGACTGGTTGGGTTAGATCAAACCGTGTCGATTGTAACTTTCGAGCTAGACTAATCTTCACAAAACCACCTGAACAAGACATCAGTAGGTTTTAATCTTTTTTGAATTTAAACTGCATAATATTTACCAGTCTGACCAATTGTATAATCTCAATAAACCGATTTAGCTAGATTCATATAGTTAAAATTTGACAATCATATAATGTCAAATATGGTCGTATGGAGAATATCTATTCTAGATTAAAACCATTAGGTTATTGAGATCCACAAAATTTCATACCATTCTCTCCCAAAAATACCAAATAAGTATCTGAATAGATGAAGTGAGAATTGTACATATACTTTTAAATTATAGGGATAAAACATAATTATTTGTGGGTATTTACCATAATCAGGAAAGACTGATGTACTTTACTTCCCTCAAAATTTCCTTTATTGAATACATTCGTTCATATTCTAGCGCCATTTACTTTTCCATTGTGATACTTCAACTACCTTTAGTCTTAATAATATCCGTAGATAAGCCAATATTTTCACAGGTAAGTTCAACAACGCTCAAATAAAGAGCAATTATTGACAAATATACTGTCTGTTTAGCAATCTCATTTTACTCAATACGCATCAACAAAGCTAGGTAAGATGACGATCATTTCTGAAAGCAAGCTCAGTAAATCCGATTAAACTGTGTTCATTACAGATAACTTAATTTGACAATTATGGTAATAAGGTCTTTCATAGTTTGAATCAATAAATTGAATCACTTGAAACCGTATTTTTGTCGGTTCCTTTTATTCGAAATACCTGTGTATTATTAATGACCAGACCATATTTGAAGAAATAAAACATTCATAAATTAACACTTACAATAATTTGTATTGACTAAAATCAACAACGTTACTAGGGTAGTTTGTAAATCACACGCTATGGTGATGGTGATACTCAGTAAAATCTGGACTCTGATTTTCAGACATTTATCAGCCCATTTTTTGTAATGTCTGTCACCACAACGATAGGTTATATTTTGATGATTAACCAATTGGATATATCACTGGTAATTTGTTTTAGACATTAGACTACAGACATGTTCATTAGGCACACGCTGTTATTCCTTATAAGGCTCAGGAATCATACAATCTTATAAGACAAGCAGTTGATATTCGCGGGGGAAATCATCCGCTGTTAAACAATGACTTCATTTAACTCATTTCTAGTTGTCTCCTGGCAAAACGTTTCATGGCTAAGTTATACTTTTATTGCATTGGGGAGCGAACTACAGAACATGATATATCTTTTGGTTGTCAGTTAACATACGTTTTCCAGCAATCATAAGCAAAGTTAAAATTATGGACACTTCAACCAAAGTTATATGCTAGTGGAAGTGTTACACGTGTTATTTGATCGTTTGATGTACGTCCTGGTTTATAAATTTTATAGTCCTAAAAGTTACTCATGACGATGTGATCTCATCCCAGTCTTTCCATGACTGTTCAAGCTCAATACAAATCTGTTCTCCAAACTACTGTAAGTCGTCCGACATTACATCATTCCTTATCTTTGTAATCCGAAAATCCGAGTTTTGTTTCCAACAATGTTGGCCATATTCACGTTACACATCTAATCATAACTGGTACATTAACTCATCTCATGAAAATATTACATGGCGAGTGATGAAGCTAAGAGAACAACCAGATGTCAACACTTATCATCATCACAACCATGTACACTTGAAGGAATTATTTTTGACACCATGGCAAACATCGTGGAATCTATTCAACTGACTCAAAACATTC